TTTGGGCACACCCTTAAAATGTTTCAATTTTTCAATTTAATTTTCAATTTAATTCTTTATTTGCGCAATATGGGTACAGATGGTGTTACAGTGGTCAGTTTACATTGTTGATCGCCATATTTAGGCTCATGCCATGCAAAAATTCTCAATTACATGCTATAGTTTAAATTAAAATTATTACATATCAAATTACAGTGTCGAAATAATTATTAAAAATAATGTCAAATGAGATTACCTAATTAATACACAATCTCAACTTTGTAAAATAAATGTCACATAAAATGTCTAATTAATATCACAGTACCACTAAGCCAGTTACAATACTACATCTAATAAATTGTCTTCAAGAAATTCCCTTACCGAATAATATGATTTTTCTAAAAGTAGTGTCTTCACTTTTTTTTTAAATAAATTATTATTTGAAATTTCAAGCAGAGAGTTGGGTAAATGATTATACACTCTAGGAATCATACAAAATACACTGCTGTTTAAAAGTTTAGTTTTGTTAGACATGAAGCTTATTTGGAAAGGGTATCTCTTGCTTTTTAATTTAACAAATAAGTTACTATTATTTCTTACAAATAGTACCATATCCAGTATATAAATACACGGTAGTGTCAATATTTTAACTTTTGGAAATATCGACCTGCAGCTCTCGGTTTGTTTCATTCTATATATAGCCCGAACGCATCTCTTTTGCGCTCTAAAGACCAACTCTTTTCCTACAGAGTTGCCCCAAAACATAACACCATACCGTACCGTATGTGTCCTTCAAAACGCATATATTGCCCAAAATGTGGAGGCAGGCATGAGAATTGCGACACTACCATTTTTAAGTGTATTAATTGTACAGAAAACCATATGGAATTGAATCGACTGACTATGGTCTGAATGGTCTGGACTAAATATATAAAGGAGAAAATTTTACGCGAAATAATGGCTGAATTTAATGTTTCATACAGGAAAGTTATGACAATGTATGTAATGCCCGAAACACCTACTTATGAGCGTACTCAGTCACCAATGAAAGGTTTAGGTAGTTTAAATATGATGCCTCAATTGCTTTAAACTACCACAAGAACTTCGAAGCAGTTCTTCAGCTCCATTTTGCCGGTTCAGGAGAATTTTACACCAGTTACGTAAGTAACTTGTGTAAAATTGCGTATGCACAGGCCGTGTCACCGACCGCCGTTGACAATAACAAGCTGGACAGTCGGGGAAAAAACCTGTTCCAAATAAAGAGATAACTAAGAAAAAATCAAGAAGAAAAAATCTAGAACCTAATTTAGTAGAGTATTTACATCATGAAAATATGTCGACAGAGATTGAAAGTAGTGTATGTGATTAACCAGTGCCTGAACAAAAGAAAAAGAAAGATCGTAGTGTACAATCTGATATTCCTTTTTTTATTTTGTTAAGCCAACTTAAGAGTTTTGTCTTTGAAAGTAATGAGCCTTTGAAGAGTAGAATCGAGAATGTAGTGCACCTATGTTTTGAATGGGCTATCACAGCTGAAAGCATTAAGTCAAAATTAGTGGAATTTAAACAACTTATGCGTAAGGAGAAAATTCATACCGTCGCGCTTTCGTAAACATGGTTGAACTCTGATATAACACTTAACTTAAAAGAATAAATTGTATTTAGACTTGATAGGCCAGACTCTTACGGCGGAATGGCTTTTATTTTAATAATAATAATAAATATTTATTTTATTTCGAATTACACATGTTGACATACAGGAAACAAAATGATTACAATTAACAAAGTAACAATAAGTCTAACAAAAATAACATGCTATGATAAAATTAAAACCATGTGTAGCTAAATAATGTAGAATCTACAAAAGAAGATAGAAAATTCATATTTATAATATTAGCTACCTGCCTGAACTAGGTTGAGTACCTGTGTTTCAGACATCACTTATACAATCGGTTTAACAGGACACTAGATATTTAAATAATTAAACTAAATTGTATAATAAATAAAATAACTAAATAACAATTATTTATTGCCTACAATTAATACAAACTATTTTAGTATATCTAACAACTTCTCTGTGTCTTCGTAATTTAATTTATTTAGAAATTCCCTTACACTTATATTACAGTCCTTATAACTTAGACTATATACCTTTAGTGACTTGTTGAGCTTGTTATATAGAAAGGGTCCTAAAAATATGTAAAATTTTTTCACAAATGCGTGTTTGGTTTGAGGGTTTACAGAAACTAAGTCCATTCTTCTCCTGTCTATGGATTTTAAGTTAAATGGAAGTTCGGTATGTTGTTTTAATATGATTTTCAGGATAAACAACTGACGGACAGCTAGTACACTACATGCCAAGTACAGTTGATGTGTAGGAAACATGAATGGACGGAAAGTGCCTACCTTTAGAACTGTCCTTTGAGCACGTTCTAGTGGGAGCAATATTGTTTTAGAAGCACCGCCCCAGGAAGTAATGCCATAAGTGAGTATGGATTGACACAAAGCTAAATAGACCTGTCTTATCAATTTGAAGTCAGCGATGTTACGAAGATATTTAAAAATATATATTAATTTACAAACTCTAGCACAAAGTAAATCGATGTGCTTGCGGAGATTTAAATTTGTGTCAAACGTGATGCCTAGATATTTTATATTGTCTGTTTTTGTTAAAGCGGGACATGCACATGCAATGTCGTCATACGAGTTACAATGATGAGCGTAAATATTTAGGTCAGCAGGTATGTTATTATTTCTCATTAAAAATAACATATATTGTGTTTTATCTGCGTTTAAACTTAGGAGATTATTTATAAGCCAATTAGATACTATATAAAGCCTTGCTGAGCGTATTTATAAACCTCATCTCGTGATTTAACTGAGAATAACAGGGCTGTGTCATCCGCATAAGACATTATGACACCATTTTGAAGTTGAAGATTGCATAAGTCATTTATATAAATTAGGAACAATGTAGGCCCCAGGATACTGCCCTGTGGGATTCCAAAAGAACTGTTTTGTAATTCAGTACTTGTATACTCACCGATTTTTACAAATTGAAAGCGATCACTTAGATAATCGGAAAAAAATTGTAGTTGAGTTCCCCTTATGCCAAGTGTTTCAAGCTTTTGCAATAGTAAAGGGCAAGAAATAGTATCAAATGCTTTGGCAAGGTCTAGGAAGATCCCAATTGAGTATAAACCATTGTCAAGATTACTTGTGACATACTCTGTCAATTGGTGCAAGGCATCACTACATGATCTCTTAGGCCTAAAGCCAAATTGTCTGTGTGACAGCAAGTTATTAGTTTCCAGATATTTTATCAACCTGGTATTTATGATCTTTTCTAGAATTTTAGATAAACCAGATAGAACTGAAATCGGCTTATAGTTATTAACTAAGTTTTTATCACCAGCTTTGTGAATAGGAGAAACCACTGTTTTTTTTAAGCAGTTTCGGGAAAATACCATTTGTTAGGCATAATTGAAAGATATGTGTTAACGGGGCGGCCAGTAAATGTTTAAATCTTTTCAGTATGCGATTAGGTATATTGTCACATCCAACTGCACAATCTTCTTTTAATCCAGATATTATACTTAAAATCTCATCAATATCGGTATTTAACAATACAAAAGAATTTAACTCAGAAAAGGATGTGGATTTTAAAGTTGTCTCTGCTATTTTTTTGCCAATATTAATAAAATAATTATTCACTTTATTGGTTGCTTCATTTGGGCTTTTGTCTAATAACAGTAGATCAAGTGGGGGTCCAAGATTTTTTGAACTAAAGGTATTATTTTTAATGAACTTCCATACAAGTTTACTGTTTTTACCGGCCTTTTGTAAAACATTTTTGTCATATTGTATTTTGAGGTTTTTTAATAGTTTATTGCAAAAATTCCTATATCTTTTATAAGTAGCAGAAAGTATTAAATTATCAGGAGAAAGTTTAGATTTTAAATGAAGTTTGTCTCTATTTCTTATACAGCGGACGAGACCAGGTGTTATCCAAGGTTTAATATTATAATACTTACATGATAGTTTTATTGTTGATGTATTATTCATTATTGCATATTGTAAAGAATTTATAAAGTAACTCAAGGACGAATTTGCATTGTCAGAGCAGTAAACAACGTCAAAATTAATGCTACGAATGTGATTTTCAAGGTTCGTCATATGGACTTTAGTGTCGTTTCGTATGCAGTTTTTCCTAGGTAAGGCTAATTGTAATGTTAGTAAAATTGCTTGATGATCAGTAAGCAAGGAATTAGTAACTAATGTTAAAGAAGGTTTATGTGATTTAATCACAAAATGGTCTAAACAAGAGCCGCTTTGATGTGTAGGGTGGTAATGTGTTGGTAATAGTCCATGAAAAGAGCAAATATTTAGGTAGTTATGTGCATGGTTATCTGTTTTTCCAGGGGTAATGTTAATATTTATGTCACCCGTTAAGATTATATTTTTATACGAGCTAAGTTTGTTTAAGGTAATATCAAGGGACTCTAGGAATCTATCAATATTTTGTGAAGGAGGTCTGTAAATTGCGATAACAATCGTCTCGGAATTAATTCTAATGATTAAGCAATTACTATCCTGGAATGAAGGTTCTGTGACAGTTACTTTTAAATTATTTTTAACATAGATTACTAAACCGTCATTTTGATTTATGTTTTTTTCGGTTTTGTGTAAAGAATAGCCATCTAGAATCGGTAGGTGGGGTGAGAGGTTTGACAGCCAACATTATGTAAGGACAATAATATCACATTTTATATCCAGTCTATGCAACAAGACTTTAAACCCGGTTATATTCCGATTTATGCTTCTAATATTTTGTGTAAGTAAGACTAACTTATTTTCAGTACGTGGAAGGAAGTATTTACAGTCATCAACATTACACGTTTTAGCGTCAGACACAGAAAAGTTTTCTAGGTCATTGAGTAATTGATTCGCCATACTTAAGCTTAAGGATAAACTAAAACTAGTGTTTAAGAGCTAAGTAAATACTATAATACACGGCGCTCTTAGGCGCCCTCATAGTCTATGGAGTTGATATATTTCTCCTCTGCGAATTTACGTGCTGGACAGCTTTCATCACCAGTTTTGTGGTCGCATTTTCTTTTAAAACGTTTACACCTCGCGCAAACGGGGGCGTGCGCTTTGTTATTACATTCTTTAAAGGAATGCCCAAGCTCTCCACAGTAGTTACATGTAGGGCAACTTTCACGACAAAATTTGGCTGAGTGACCAAACTGCTGGCAGTTGAAGCATCTTGTTACTATTGTAAAGTCTCTGACTGGGCATGAGGTCCAATTAATATATATTCGTCCTTGATTGATAAGGGCCTTCCTGATGCTAGGTGGCACTTCGATAATGTAATTACATGTAATGTACATTTATGGCTCAGTTTGACTGTTGCCAGAAAAGAATCACGCGTGGCTTTGGGAAATTTATCGGCAATATTTTGTTCGAAGATACACTCGAACACTTCTTTATCCGTGAGGGCTAAAGGGACACCAACAATTGCAATCCTCGGACGTCGTTTAGTCGGCTCTTCCTAAGGCCAGAAGATACAAGCTTCTCGGAGTTCTTTAATTTGTCGATATCTCCTTTTGTTTCAGCGCTAATTATAACTCCCCCATTTTTGACCTTCCTCATGCCCCGGACATGTAGTTTGAGTTCTTCTGGGGATATTATTTTTTGTAAGAGGCACTTCGTGTCATCACTGGATTTGGACTTGTCCTTCGGATAAATTGCTAGGGTACTAAGATTGTTTGGGCGAATGAGGGTTTGGCCACCTTTTTTGACCATGTCCGCAAAAGAGGTTCCAGAGTCCGGTTTTGATGACTCTTCGATACTATTCTTGAGTTCCTGCAGCTTTTGGGACAGGTCGAGTTGGTTCTGTAGAGAAACGATGGATGTCTGGGCTTTAGTGGCATCCATTTTGAGGGACATGTACTGGACTACCAATTGTGATGTACTTTGGCCTACTTTTCGACAAAGCGAGCTGATGCGCATTTTTTGATCCGAGTTTAGTTTTCCTTCTGTAGCGATGGAGCACACCTCGTTAAGGCACAGGTCAATGCTTGTCATCCACTGCTGCAACTCAGGAGTTGGAATTGTTTTGATTGGTTCGCTTGAGGTGGGTGTCTGCATGAGAGTGGGTGGGGTTGATGGAGGCGGGGTGCGAGTAGTCCTGGCACTCCGGTTGAAAGGACTGTTCTCCATTTTAGTACCTATACTAGATTAAGCTAAAACATTTCAACAATATCACTAACACAAATATAACTAAAGTATGTCACAGTTACTACCGGTATTGTTATAACGAGGTCACGGCTAAGTACTAATTATTTTAATTACTATAAATAAGTATTTAATTATTTTAATTACTATATAACACGTCTGTACACAATAACGTGCACTTTCGATCAAAATCAATCGTGCTTTAATAATACACAAATCTCTTTCGGCTCAGAAGCTTCCACTGCAGAGTGCCAATGCGGCTATTGAAGTGATATCCGTTAAAATCTCTAATTGTGAAATTGTTGAGAATATAATGTCTTTATCATGTCAATAGGACCACATATCTATATGTCAATTTTAACGGACATCACCCCAATTGGTCGAATAAAACCGACTCTGGAGGCACGCAAATTCCGGACTCGTTAGAGGACCATAATTTTGTTATTTTAAATGATGGCAGGCCTACGCGATTAAAATTGGTTGGCGGTATTTTACAACAGTTAGCTCGAGACATAACATTATTATCATCTGATATCGCTTTTAATTAGTTCAATTGGAATGTTACTAACGAGTGTTTAGGTAGTGACCACCTAATGATTAAGATTTCAACATCTATCAATCATTCTCCAATTACTCATAAGAGATGCAACTTTAAAAAAGCTGATTAGGTGAAATATCGTTGCGTAAAAGAAGAGGAGTGCGCTCAGTTTGACATTTCGAGTAACCCACAAAAAGCCTATGATGATTTTATCAATTTTTGTTTAAAAATGCAGACGCAAGTATTCCGTTTGTTAAAATATGCCTAAACCCTAAGGCCAATTCGCATTATACCTATACCTAAGTCGGGCAAGAACATTAATTGTATTTCATCTCTTTGGCCTATTTCTCTTATTTCGTGCTTATGTAAAGTATTTCATGCCATTATGAATAACCGTATAGAGTAGTACGTTGAAAACAAAGAACTATTTTCTGAAGAAACTAAAGGACTCAGTAAATCACATTCCTGTCTCGACAATTTAATCGATTTATTTACAAACGTTCAAATAGGATTTGCTATATTTTTTTTACAATAGGATGCTTTCTAGATTTACAAAATGCATATAATAATGTAGACATAAGTTAACTTTTATCAACCCTCCATCGTCTTAATGTTGGCGCAAAATTTTGCAACTATCTTTCAGCTTTCTAAATATCTTTGACCAAAGATATTTATTGATTGAAGGGATAGATTATGAAATAATTAGAAGTACAGGTCGCGGTATAGCACAAGGTGATCCACTTTCGCCACTTTTGTTTAACATAGTGTAACGAACCCCCCCCCCCTTTTTTTTTCTTTTCTACTATATATCCACTTATATTTGTATTTCTTTAGAATCTATATATGTAAGATATATAAATATATCAAATTTACGTGACCAGTATAACTTGATCTTTCTAAAGGTTTAAATATAGGCCGTTTAAATTTATGGCGTGATCGTCTTAGTTAGGACCCCTTTTTACGTTGTGTTTGTATAGTAACTTAGTTCTTTTAGGTGTATCTTGGAAGAATGAATATTCACGAGAGCAATCGAAAGCTGTTGGTAGAGTCTTATAAGCTAAAGAACCCCGTTCACGAAGGCAGAGCTCAAAAAGGTTAAGAACAATAAATTGTCCCTATTCCACTTGTATCTGGTTCACAACAGTCAATTCCTTATTAATTAATCCCTTCCCGCTTGGAAAAGGCTCACAATATTTATATCAAATACCAGTTACAAGGGCTTCGCTCTCCCACATTTTAAAAAAAATGTGGAGGAGGTACACGGCCCCACACACGCCGCGCACGGTGAGCGCCAACCATTTTAATGCACTCCCCCCGAAGGGTACGCAAAGTTGGGAACTGGACCGTAGTCCACAGCAAAATAACTGGCGAACCAGTAAAAGAGGACTTGGCCCCTTGATAGTGCGTAAGCACAAACATCGACCGAAGTCGCGCATGTCAATGCGTGTAAACGCCATACAGAATACGATCAAATCCAGTCACAGTGAATGTACGTCACACGGGTTAGGCAACAATAGGCACACTGACCATAAAAAGCCTTCCGTGAGCGCCACCACCTGCCAGACCGCCGTTCCTGCAGACGTGATGTAAGTGTAAGGCATCACCACCAATTGCATGGTCAGCACGGCCAATTGGCCGCAGAGCGTGTCATGAGTCTACCGCTCACCTCAAGGGAATGGGGTCCCACGTTGCGCGGCTTTCGGCCGCAGCCTTGAGAGCCTCCTCAGATTCTCCCTCCAGCTACCACCCGCATGAGGTCAACACATATGCTCCACCAACCAATACAATGGCAGATATAGCCAATAAGCAGTTATAAGATAATATTAATAATTCGCCATCAGAAAAGGTTTGTGTCACTGACGTTGAGTATATGCATTTTTCGATCATGTTTGTCTCACCCACCAACAAGTTGCCTTCAATCTCTCAAAGGTGGGAACTTTATAGAGATATATTATTAAGTTGTTATATAAAACATCATGGAGGGCAGACAGTCTGCAGCCCCGCTATGAAGGGACCCGACTTGGGCAAAGCTACTTAGGTTGTGAGTCAAACCAAGACGCAGAGAGCGCCATTGAGAATAGCGACCCGCCAAACAACCATCGTAGAGACGCAATGCTACAGAATGCAACAAGCATCAATACGACTATCGTCGGGCTTACACCATCCCAAGGTCCCCCATACAGTCCCAGCAGACATCACCACCCGCATACCTCCATCGACCAGAACCACAAGATGCATCGAATCAGGTGCAGTACACCCGCAGATCCATCACAAGACGCAATACTGCAAGTAGCAGTAAGCATCAATGCAACTATCATACGGATGGCGCCCCCTCACAACACACCCACATGATCCCTATCGACTTTGGTAACAAAATTTGATAATGTTGTTAACTAAAAATACCACCGACGTATCATAGTAGTACGGTACTAAGACCTCAGTGGCCAAAACTCCACGTATCATAGCGCTATTGCACTAAGACATGAAGTTGAGTATGCTTGCTGCACTTAAAAGTACTACCAAACACACTCACCCTAATCCGAAAGATAGCCGACGTATCATAACGCTATGCGCTAAGACGCCGCCCACAACCGGTGGGGGTGTGCGATGTCCACGGGCAAGTCGTATTGCTACAACAAACCCGCTTACCACCGGCACTAAGATGATATGTCTAGGACACATCGGTTAGTGAGTCCAAGTTTACCTCGGTCTCAGAGGCTGCGAAGCAACCTACACGCCACTAAAATAATCCTTTTCAAGTCCCATTTCTTTCAATATAATGCTTTTACATATTTGAGACCTTCCACATATTTGCTTTATTTCATAGACCATACTACTGTATGTCTTATTCATATGGGACTTCAAGTCATAACTCTGCTATCATAATGCTTATGCATCATAGAGACCTTCTATATTAATGCTTTGGTTCGTCAGACCTTACTATGTTAAGTCCCTAATATAGGACTAGTCATTGTGCAACCTTAGTACTAGCAGTCGGTCAGCCGACCACCCCATATATATGTACAACCTTGGGTATGTGTCTCCGACAACGCCCCAATATAAGGGTACATTACAAGAACACGTTCATTAACTTAGAAATTTTCCAATTATTACACGAACTCCTTCATCAACTTAGAAAATTTTAATCCATTTTTTCTATTATATTACAAATGTTATTTATCTTTGTTATTGCAATATAATCGCCTTGTATATATATGATTTGATATATTTTGAACATTTTAAGCAGGTTTTTAATAAATTTAGAGATTTTTTGAGACATTTTATGCGTTTACTAATATATATAATATTCAATATTCCAAATGGATATTTTTGAACTCTATGCTTATTATTTGCATTTTATTGTTTAAATTATAATTTCTATGACATTTTTAAATGTCTGTATAATGAATTTAATTATTATTTATTAATAATAATTATGAGGCGTCACAATAACAACAATAGATATATGTAAGTCTATAACTTCCAAATCACATCTTAATATCTCTCAGTATGCTGATGATTACGTCATATTTATAACTTCTAATAACTGGAAAAAGGCGCATAATAAACTTCAATTAGGATTAGACATTTTAAATGATTTACTTCTTAAAATAA